CAATCACATTTTCCTTTTCCATTTTTTTATATTCTTCAAAATAACAATTCCATTCGAAAAAAACGAAAAACAAGCATTTTTTGTTTTCGAGAAGGGCGAGAGTTCCCGTAAATTTTCTTTGACCATTGTATTGTTCTCGATGACAGTTACCTTTTTTCTCATACAATTGTCTTCGTATCTGTTAAGGTTTAGAATATAGCAATGTTACCACATGATAAAAAAACTGCATGTATAGATCCGATCTACAGAAACTAGACTTCTGTTTGTATTTATAGGCTATACTTTGTTTAAGATGTTTCTCTTGCAAAGGTACTGACAGAACTCTTCGCTCCCGTAAAGATGCGATGCATATATAGCCCAACTAGTATCGGCATTTTATGAAGTGAGAACAAACAAAAGGGGGAATTTCATATATGTACCTACATAACTTCCATGTGATAGGTCCCAATACCGGGTGAGCTATGAAATGAATTTTAGGAATATAAAAAAAAATGGATGGATGGAAAGACCTGTTGTAATACAAAAAAGGATAATTCGTGTAATATTTGATCTTTCCTATAAGGAATCATGCCGAGATACTTTCATACGGAACAATATCCCTATATCTCATGAAAATCTTAATGTATGTCAAAACAAACGTCAATTACTTTGAGAAGGTCGGAGATATTTCAAAGTATGCCACTAGAAATTCTAAAAATTTGCGACTGGGCAGGGTTAATCACGCATTCTTTAAAAAAACTGGAATCTACAGAGGATGTTCTTATTTCAACTTGCTTCCTCACAATATCAAATGTTCGTCCGTAATAATCTTCAAAAAAGAACTGAGAAAGATTATGAACAAAGGTTGCTTCTACAATATACAAGAATTTGAAAATTATTTAAAAACTATAAATAGTAGTACATAACCAATAAATAAACCTTGTTAGCATAATTAGTGGGTATAATTACCCACTAATTATGCTAATGTGTAATGTTTTCTGGACCTGTATCTTAATTGCGATTTTCAGTTATACATAACTCACATCTGTGTATACTAACACACAAATAGTGTATCGGTGTACACAGTGTATTAGTATATACATGGATTTTATCTCCAGTATACTAAGTTTGTATCTGTTTGTATTTGTTGACGTTCACAATCCATGTCTATGGAAGATGTGTTTAGTATATATACCTTATACATTTTACATTTCATTTTATGTATTTCTGACTTACCTAATCCATGTAATAGTGGCAATGAAGGAGAAAATAAATATCTTATCTATCTATATAGCATAAAATTCATTTAATATGCTAATACAAAGTTATGAGTGGACAAAAACTGAACATACATTATATTGAATAATTACTGCGATATTGTTTTAATGTAGCATAAGGCTTAACTTTTTATTTATTTCTTTGAAATACATTTTTTGTGAAGAAGTCAATGTTTCTACTGTTTTTCTGCTAAAGTTCTGCAGCACCGCTGCTGAGGAAAAATGCCATGCTATTTTTTATCGAGGTTCATTTTACACTTTTTCAGACCTCTTAGCGGATTCAAATGGCCCAATCTATGGCCCGACTTCATGACCTCACCCGTGTAGTTCCGACTTGCGATCGTACACACACATATTACCATTTGTCTCACTCTTACCTCGAGTTGGGTGTTCCACAAGGAGTCGCTTGGAGGTCCAAAAAGTTCAAAATAAACCACCATCAGAATGAGCATTGTATTTTGCCACAGAAGGGGTGCTTTATATTTATTAAAGGTCATCCCAAAAAGGTACTGTGTGATATAAATCAATGTAGAGGCCATTTAGTAGATAACTTGTATTCACAAATTTTGCCCATAAGCTATTTGAGACGCACTTTAGGTATGGTATGTACAGTGTCATCCCCAAAGTATGCACCATATGGCAAACTTATTTATTAGGCGTTTTTCGACAAAATATTATCCTTGATAAAAGTTTGTGCATCCCCTAAAACTAATAATGTACCAACGAAATGCAGTGAAATACACGTAATATACGAGGAGCCTTCAAATATTTGATTTTGAGACAAGAGTAAAGTACTCTTATTTTGAAAAATCTCGGGAAATGTTATAAAGAAAAGTTGTTCAGCATTAAAAAATACATCTAGATTTGAAGTCATCAAGTAAAGTTTAATTATTTTATCGATTTTTTTAAAGTGGGGACTTCGAAAAAAAATTTGCTAAAACGATAAATAGACAGCATCGTGTATACGACGGTTTATTTTAAAAACCTGCAATATTACAAAGCACACAACTATGGTGTTAACCACAGTCAATTTTGAAATAATTTTCAAAATTTTTGGTGCAAAATTATTTTTATTTTTTGTTAACATCGAAAATTACTCAAAATTATACAGCATTGCAACAAGAACTTAATATTCAATATCAAATCACAAAACATCAAAATAAAATAGGTATTTTGGAAATACTCATTGATTTTCTGGAGATTATTTTGGAGAATTATTTTGGACAAGAAAATCTCCAGAAAATCAATGAATTTGTTCCGAAATACCTATTTTATTTTGATGTTTTGTGATTTGATATTATTGAATATTGAGTTCTTGTTACATTACAGTATAATTTTGAGTAATTTTCGGTGTTAACAAAAAATAAAAATAACTGCACCAAAAACTTTGAAAATTATTTTACTCTTCAAAAAGTTGTGTTAACATCATAGTTGTGTAATTCGCAATATTACAGGATTACATAATGAACCGTCTTATACAGGATGCTGTCTATTTATTGTTTTAGTAAATGTATTGTTTTCCTAGTCCCCATTTAAAAAATAAGTAATAAAATAAAACTTCACTTAGATGGCCATGACTTCAAATCTGGATGTTGAACAACTTTAAATAACACTTCTCAAAATTATTCAAAATAAGAATACTTTACTCTTGTCTCAAAATCAAATATTTGAAGGCTCCTCGTATATTACGTGGGTTTACTATATTTTGTTGATGCAGGTTTAGTTTTAGGGGATGCACAAACTTTTATCAAGAGTAACATATTGTCGAAAAACTCTTAATAAATAAGTTTCCCATATGGTGCATACTTTGGGGATGACACTTTATAATAGTAATCACTTGAACTTATTTTTATTTTTCAACTTCTTTGACATACGTCAAAGGAGTTTTGAAATGTGAGTCATAACTTTTCTCTTCAAAAACGTGCTGCTAGGAATTGTAGATATAAAATTCTTAAATTTCATTAGTTCGGACTTCTATTGTCTGATATTATATAAAATCATCTGAAATCCCTGAAAGAACTAATAAAAAGGAAGAATTAAATATGTATATCTGAAAATAACAATTATATAAGGCAAAAAAACTGAAATGAAATAATAGTGTAATAAAATAGAAGTAAAATAGAACAAGTTAACAAAAAATAAAAATAAAAAGTTGAGACATATCAAGCCAAGTTACTTCACGACGTTTCGATTGTTGGTATCCACTATCGTCTTCGGATGATGATTGGACTAATTCCTCCGAAGGATGACTATTTATGGGTCATTCGAGTATTGCTTTCCTTTTTCCGCTTCACTGATTTAGTAGGAGATGACTGTTTGGCGGGAGTTTGCCATTTTTTGCTTGATTATGGGATTCCATGTTGCGTATCTCTACGCTAGCTTGGCTGAATACATCGTTGGGCAACATGTATAGGGCTTTTTTGAATTTCCTTCTAAACTAATGTTCCTCTCTGTGTATGATCTCAGCTTGAGACCACTCGGTGAACAACATCAGAACCTGCTTTATATCTGGAAACACTACCCCTAGCAGCCTCACGAAAACCAGGCCACTAAACGCGGACTGCGATTCCAAGAATTGCATTTACCGGATGCGATGCGGAAAATCCTATATTTGTGAAACTAAGAGGCCATTGAATGTTTGCATTGCCGAGCACAAGAAACACACAGCGAGGGGAAACTCGCAAATCAGGAATAGCAGATCATGTTTGGACCCATCAACATAACATCGAGTGGTCCCAAGTTGAGATCATACACAGGGAGGAACATTGGTTTAGGAGGAGGAGAAGCCGCATACATGTTGTCCAACAATGTATTCAGCCAAGCTACGCAGCATAAGGCAACCCATAATCAAGCAAAAAATTGCCAACTCCCGCCAAACAGTCATCCTCCACTAAACCGGTGAAGCGGAAATAGGAAAGCCAAGATAAGTGAAAGTACTCGAATGACCCATATATAGTCATCTCTCGGAGAAATAAGTCCAGTCGTCACCGGAAGACGGATACCAACAATCGAAACGTCGTGAAGTAACTTGGCTTGGAATCTCTTCACTTTTTATTTTCATTTTTTGTTCAATTGTTCTGTTTCACTTGTATTTTATTTCACTATTACTTCATTTAAGATTTTTTTGGCCTAATATAATTGTTATTTTCAACTATTTTTTTTTTATTCTTCCTTTTATATTAGTTCTTTCGGGGATTTCAAATCATTTTATATTATATCAGACAATGGAAGTCCGAACTAATGAAATTCATAATGAAACATTGTCAATCACCTTTAAACATAAAATCTTACTCTACCTTGTTTATACGTACTTGACACTCTGTGCTTAGTACATAAAAACAAGGGTCTTTATGATTTAGTTTTTGGATCCACTCTCCGAATCAACAATTTGAGATTACACCTTCCAATATCTGAATTAATTAAAACTTCAGTAATTCATAATGCAGTAAAATTATACAACCATTTGTCAGTCGGCAGCATATAATTATGAAAAGAATGTGTCGTTTTATTAGTTTTCATGACCAGAATTGAGTTCCTGAAATAATTGAATCATTGACAGTTTTGACTGTTTAGATACTATATTTCGTAAGTCCAAACATTTGAGCTACTGGAGTGAAAAATTATTCTCCTTTTTGGGCTACTCTGAAACTTCTCAGAAATTTTCATCATAATCGCTTACTACGTCACATTTTACTTGATTCACTTAAAAGTATAACACCTTGCACCAAAATTGTTCATTTTCAGATCAACCCAGTAGTGACTACCAAACGCAACACGACACATCTCCGGGCAATACTATATCTAAGCATGATTTGGGTCGATTCTTGATAGACTGCCTTACCCAACCAGAACATTACAATAAGGTAGTCGGAATCTGTACGAAACATCAGTAAATTATCTCTGGTATGAAGGACTGGATGGTGCTTGCATTTATTTTAGTTGCAGAATTAGAATTTTTACATAACGAGTTTTTATGTATTATCATATTTGTCGTGGATAAGCAATTGTGTTTGGGGACGATATGAAGTTGTTAAAACGTTAAGGAGTTGAAAGAAGAATTTTTATCTTCAGCGTTTTCACTGTTCTACTAGGATGTGTGTAGTAAGCAACTATTGCTCATTTTCAACACATTTCTAAGCTGTGTTTGCTCGATTGTATCAAGTTAGTATAATCCAACATCTCATTCCAGAACTGTCTTTAAGAAACTGTCTAGGGTGAATATATTCTATTTCATTGATATTTCATAATAAATTACATTATATACAAGGTGTTTCATGATTATGTAGTCAAATAGAGTAAGAGAAATATAAAGGAGATATTAGACTTCACAGTGAGTAAGCTCCTAAGCCCTTATATAAATAAATGAAGGAAACAATTCACTCACTGAACACATTAAATGCAAAATGATGATTGAAATAATCAAAATCAAAGTAAGTTCATTATTCTCACTGTGTATTGAAACAATTTCGTTTATGGCTTGTTTCTCTTCTCACAAATAAATGTGTGATCATGTTTTTTCATTCCCACAGTTCATTTTATAATTTATATAAATGATTTGCAACAATCCAGCCATTCACACCAAGTTATATGTATGGTTTGTTGACATGATAGTGTTATTGAATGTATGTATTTGTGGCCGTATTACTTGATATCAAAGGAGCAATTTATATTGCATTACCTAAATCTATCGGGTCAGCCTTGGCTGAAATGGCCATAGAATCGATCATAACTGACTAGATTTACGGAATGCTCGTAAATAGAACAGTAACTACTACTCTTTGAAATGAGGTTATTTGGTTCACAGTCATCAGAGGCTGGAAACGTCATTGTTCAGAATTTTGTATGCTAAATTAAGAGTTACCATTCTTGGATCTTCTAATTATGAGAAACGCCGATAAGAATTTACAATTTCATGTATATCGGAAGAATACTAGCATTTTCAGATTTATCCCAGACAGCTCCCACTATTGCCCGCAACAAAAATGATATTCGGGACTGTCCTCGGCACTTGACCTTGGAGGACGTCGACCTTGAGATACGTGCGTGTTGTGACCTTGAACAGCGGATTCAACCTTGGGATTCGAGGCTGTGTCCTGCATGTGAAATTGAATGACATATGATCTTGAGATGTATGGCGATCCTGTTAACTATTCATAGTCCTATAGCTTGCACGGCCTTGAAATTCTACTGTCTCCGTTTTATTACCTTGAACCCCTTCCTTTTCTCATGATGTTTTTTATATGAGCTCAGTGTATCATACTTTCAGTTTAGGATATCTAAAGTGAATAGTCAATGAGTATTTGTGATGATGACAGCAGCTAGTATCTACCAGTCCAAGAAGTGAACATCATTACTGTCATCATCACAAATTAAAAATTTGAATTTTGACATTGAAAACATTAATTTGGCTATAATTCAACGAAGTGAAGCTTTAGAGCAGAGACCAATAACATCTTTGATTATTGATGAAGATTATAAAATTGAAAAAAGTAAATCCATTCGATTAGTTTTGTTGGATGGGAAAGTAGTACTTCTTTTAAATCATGCTTTTCGAGACATGTCACAAAGCAATTCACAGAAAACAACATTCACGAAGTGAATTCATCCGAAGCCAAATTCGCTATTACTTATATGGGCCAGAATTCACAGGGTTATTCTGGTGCGGAAACCCGATCACTGATCAAATTCAATATGTAAGATTTGAGGTTTTGAGTACAATTTCCAACATCTTTTTGTAAATAGTGAAAAATTGTGCTACAGAGTCAAATTTCAAGTGAGTATTTTTATTTTCTTTGACATTTTAATTTCCAAACTAATAAATGCAATTTGTGTATTTTCAGAGCTCTTTCTCCTAGAAATATGTGGATGCAATATTCAGACGAAGAGTGGCTGGAAGCTGTGGTTGATTATGTAGTAAGAAAAATGGCTTGGGAATTGGTCAATCTGAGTTTTGATGCTGAAGAGGTGCGAAAACCTTTGAAGCTTAGTGAGAAGTATGAACTTGGTGTGGCACTGTGTGATAAATATTCGTATGGAAGCGGAAATTTGGATGAGTTCTGTGAGCTAATGATTGACGAAGACTTGACACCTTTCCTTTTTGACATATATACCTACCTACCACATAATATCTTAAGAAGGCATATTTGAATGTGCAGCAATTGAATGTTCAATAGATAATAAGAATATCATTGTGATAAGTCTATACAGACCTCCAAAAAAAGGAATACCTTGATGATTTTTATCATAAACTTGAGGAAATTCTTGAGAAAATCAGCAGTGAACGTGATTTAATCCTCATAGTAGGTGATTTCAACATTGATCTAAAAGAAGATGAGAAAAAACATTACAAGAATGAATTTTTTACTGAATTCATATTCATTTATTTTCACTATTGTAGATTACACAAGAATCAACCTAACAACAACAAAATGCATAGACAATATTTTAACAAATGTAAAAGATGAATATTCCACATGTATTTTACATACTTCTATGTCTGATCATACAGCACAGAAAATTAGTTTTTCAATAAATAAACATAGAATACAGAAACATAAATACAGAAGAATATTCTCGATAGACAATCAAAATATGTTTTTTGAAAAAATAAAAGATCAAAATTGGTCGGAAATATATCATCTAAACCAAATAGATGGAAATAAACAATGTTATGCTTTCATGAATTCATTTCTCAATATTTTTCATGAATGCTTTCCACGAAAACTCGTCAAAGAAAAAAAAGAAAAAAACTATTATGAGAGATCCAGAGATAGAAGAGTGTAAAAACAGACTTGATATACCGCTTACTATTTCAAGGCATCATGATAACTTGAAAAGTGTCTATAATGAAAAAAAGGGAATGTCATGAAATTTTGAAAAGGAAAAGAAGTGAGTGTTACCAAGAAAAAATCAGAAATTCTGATAATGTGGAGCATATATAAAGAGATAATAGGCAGAAATAACACCACAGATTCAATATTTGAAGGAAATCCAACTCAAACACCCAATCAGTACCTACAATGAATTTATGTTGAATGTGAAATACTTGGAAAAATAGATAAGACCCAATTTTCATGTAATATTTCAAATAATTCATAATCAATGTTTCTTCTACCAGTCACTGAAGAAGAAATTAAGAATCTGTGACGGAAAATAAAAAACAAACACACGTGTGAAGATAGATGACGAAATACTAGTAAGTCTGATGAAAATATGCATAGATATATCCAAAATAATTTGCTATATAATGAATAACTCATTCAAATATGGAATTTTTCCTCAACAACTAAAACTACTTCTCATAACAACAATATACAAATATCAATTTATTGAATTTTATTGAGAATTAGCATCCTCAGGAGAAGTTAGCATCCTGAGGATGCTAACTTTGTTGGCGAAACGCACGTCGAGTGCAAAAATATCAGTTTGGTGTTAGGGCAATTGATCTCGAAAAAAGTTATTCAATAATCAACAATGTTTAACCCTTTCATATCAATACACCATTGTAAGTTATAACAGATAGTACTTAATGACTTCATTAGTTAGCTGAATGTTGTTCACCTGTAACAATGTCGGTACGCTAAGGATTCTTTAAAAATGTCGAAACATTTTCAACTAGTCCAAACGACCTTTCATGTTCAGCATATCGTTTTGAGAAATTTCAGCCACATTAACCCGCATCACTATCACACTCAGTCCGGAATTTCAAGGTTATAAACTCCAGATTTCTCCATCTTGTCCACTTTTTATCTTCGACAATGAAATGGATATTAGTTAACCTGGCATGTGACCAGAATGCCACCAACATATTGTTTTTTCTGGAAAATTCCGCAGTTGTCTTTGTTCTCTTACTAAATTATGTCAAAATTCAACCATCAATTTATTGAAATGTCATACCAGTTCGAAAGTTTCATTAAAAAATAATGTTACGAATTCAAGATGAATTCGATGAAATTACTATGGGCACCTATTATAATAATAGTGATTGGCGAAAAATCATCTATCATTTGGGCCCTCGAATGTGAATATATGATTTTTTGTGAGTACGATCCGTTGAAGGATTTGAATGAATTGATACAGATCAAAAGTTTTATTGAAAAATATTGTCACAAAATAATAAATGCTGTAGTTGCATCTTGCACCCCGTCGATATTTCCGAAAGCATAATGAACACGCTTCTCCTTCGTTCTTCAAGACTACAGATAACCTGGAAAGTCTACTCTTACTCGCCATAACATAAGCCGCATGCAAGCCGTAGCGTCCTCACGACTATCGTGGCCCTTCGAACTACACTGTATATCATCTTGGAGGATTTCCGAAATCAAATCTTTCAGCGATCTACGATACGGTAGTCCTCTGTCATGGGGAAATGTAAATGCGGTATCCACGATTTTCAAGGCTCGTAAATCATTCTCTAAGACGTGACCAATCAATATCGTCTCTGTTGTGATGAAGCTCATCAAATCTTTTTGTACCTTAGCCAGGCTCTTAGTAGGACCTCGAATTATATCTTCGGCCTTTATTCCGGAAAAACGTGTGTTGTAGTCGACGATTTCATGAAGAGGTATCACATACGACTCGTATACACATCTTCCATTCGAGTCAACTATAGTAACTCTTGTTACTTCGAGGCCTTTTACTGTGTAACACATTTCGCAGTCCAGAGCATAAACACCATGAGTTCCATATATACGGGGATTTCGAGTAGGTGTCGTGACGTTCGGTTGCTCCTCTCTAAACGTGAAGGCGATTTCCGATAAAGAAAAGGTTTGGCTTTCTACTCGAAATTGATTGCTTCATTTCTTTCTTAGAGGTATTTTCACATTTTTTCGTATAAAGATAGAGAATAGGGAAGCCAACACTTTTTCTCCGTGAAATATTATTTCGAAAAATTAGAAATATTACTTTCTGTTTTTCTGTACCGCTCGTAATTGCAACTAACGTAACTGCAGTTTCATCCCACAAAGACATTCTCAAACGAATACAATAAATTGAAATAATCAAAAATGTTTAACCCTTTCATATCAATACACCATTGTAAGTTATAACAGATAGTACTTAATGACTTCATTAGCTGAATGTTGTTCACCTGTAACAATGTCGTTACGCTAAGGATTCTTTAAAAATGTCGAAACATTTTCAACTAGTCCGAACGACCTTTCATGTTCAGCATATCGTTTTGAGGAATTTCAGCCACATTAACCCGCATCACCATCACACTCAGTCCGGAATTTCAAGGTTATAAACTCCAGATTCCTCCATCTTGTCCACTTTATCTTCGACAATGAAAAGGATATTAGTTAACCTGGCATGTGACCAGAATGCCACTAACACACTGTTTTTTCTGGAAAATTCCGCAGTTGTCTGTGCTCTCTCACTAAATTATGTCAAAATTCAGTCATCAATTTATTTAAATTTCATAACAGTTCGGAAGTTTCATTAAAAAATAATGTCACGAATTCAAGATGAATTCGATGAAATTACTATGGGCACCTATTATAATAATATTTAGCATTTGGGCCCTTGAATGTGAATATATGATTTTTCGTGAATACGATCCATTGAAGCACTTGAATGAATTAAAAATAAGATACAGATCAAAAGTTTCATTGAAAAATATTGTCACAAAATAATAAATGCTGTTATTGCATCTTGCACCCCGTTGATATTTCCGAAAGCATAATGAGCACGCTTCTCCGTTCTTCAAGACTACAGATAACGTGGAAAGTCTACTCTTACTCGCCATAACATAAGCCGCATGCAAGCCGTAGCGTCCTCACGACTATCGTGGCCCTTCGAACTGTTGTGAATTAATTTCACATCTAGTATTGAAGTGGAGATTATTTATTGTTTTATATAGTTACCATTATTGTTATCAGTTTTGTTTTGATGAAAAAGCAAAAAAGTCAAATAGAATCTTATTTTGCCGAAAATAAGTAGTTTGCCCAAACATTTTGGTCCTTTGAGTTTTGTTCAGTACCTTTTCGAGTTGAAGACGCATTCTAAAAAGGAAATTATTGATTGCTGTCAAATTTGTAAAACCCCAATTGAAAGATGTCACGAGAGGAAGTTGCTGTTCGAAGAACTAGCAGAGCCACTGCTGGAATCCCGCCGTCGAAATATACGCCAAATGAATCAGTTGAGTCATCAAAATCTATCAAGTCAAAGTAAATTGAAAATATTGAAGTTAAAGAAGTTGCAGGCTGAAAATCAACTACAGAAAGAATTAGAAGATAGGCAATTGAAATTCGAACAACAAAAATTAGAATATTTAGAACGTGAAACTGAAAGAGAGCTAGCTATTTTGGAGATTCAAACGTCTATAGAAGCAGAAAAATCTTCAAAAAGCATTGAAAGTAGTAGTGAGCAAAGTGAAAATGTGGAAAGTAGCATACATAAAAAAAGCATTGAAAGAAGTAGCAAAATGAATTCTCTTCCATACGCCAAGTTATCAGATATTTCAATAGAAAATACTCATGTCAAAGTTGTTGACTGGTTATTGGACAATAGTTTTCCGTATTCAAAGCAGTCAAACCCAGAAACCGAAAAATTAATGAATGAACCTATCACAACACATCAGTTCATGAAAGAATTCACTTCAGCAATGACAGATGCTTTCAAATCAATAACCAAACAAAATAAAATCCACAACGAATCTTCTAAGGTATCCTGCAGGAATGTTGTGGGGAAAGAACTTCCTTATTTCTACGGAAATGTTGAGGATTGGCCTATGTTTATTTCTCTATATCAACGATCCACTGAAACATGTGCTTACTCTGATGAAGAAAATTTGCTACGTTTACAAAAAGCCCTGAAAAATGAAGCTTTAGATGCAGTGAAGCCACTATTTGTATCTCCAGATAATCTCAATGACATACTTAAAACGTTAGAGGCTAGATTTGGACGACCTGAATTTATAATGGAATCCATGATGAATAAAGTGAAATTATTACCACCCGTGAATACTCGTTCTCCAATATCCTTTATAAAATTTGCCAATTCGGTTCTTAATCTTACTGTCACTGCAAAATCGTTGAAAATGGAAACATATATCAACAATAGCCAACTTCTTAGTCAGCTCGTTCAAAAATTGCCAGAACACCTTCAGTTCCAGTGGGCAAGAATTATTGTCAAGAAATACAAAGACATACCTACACCATCGTTGAAAGAGTTTTCAGAGTGGTTACAAGAAGAATCTTCAGCAGCTTGTTTGTTATGTAAACCTTCTATTTCACATTCTGCATCAACAGTCCCGTATATGGACAAGAAAAATAAAACGAACGTTTTCACTGGAACAGAAAACTCATCAATGGAAAAGTACTGCCGATTTTGCTCTAAATCTACTCATTCCATATACAAATGCGACCATTTCCTGCGTCTCGACACTGATAAGAGATGGGAATGGGTGAAAGAACAAAAAGTTTGCTTTTCTTGCCTGAATTCGTCTCATCGTACTTTCAAATGTAAAAATCGAAGACGTTGTGGTCTGCAGAAATGCGAAAAATACCATAATCGCTTACTCCACCCGAATAGTGTTGTAAATCCAAACCAATTGCAGGGATACAACTTGCAAACTCAGTTAGCCGCTTCCAATATCACAGCTGAGAAGAAAGAAGAGGAATCACAGAATCCTGATTGTTTTAATAATGAGCATTTTCTTCAGGAGAAATTTCTAATAATACAAATCCTGATGAATGGCATTGGCTACCGACAAAGTTCAATGTAGCAGATGAAGCGACCAGGGGTGTCTGGAACATTGATAACTTTCAGAATTGGTTTGAAGGTCCTCAGTTCTTGACTTCAGAAGAGATTAAATGGCCTCATGCTGAAGAAAAGATAGAAGATGGTACAGAAGTAGAAAAAAAGAAGAATTTTGTTTTTGTAATCAACAAGAGATGTGAAGAAATTATCAATTTTTCAAGATTTTCGCATTATTTACGACTTGTCAGATCACTCGCTAGGGTGATAAGATTCATTCATCTCATGAAGAAGAAGATTGGTCTACCAACTCCTCAGATTTTCACAGAACTAACGGTTGAAGAATTTGAAAAGGCTGAACTTCGAAGATATTGAGAGACTCAATCGTATGAAGAATCCTATAAAACAAAGTCGTCTTCAAAATTTGAATTTATTTATCGGCCAAGACAATATTTTGAGACTAAGCGGACGATTGGATGATGCACAACACCTAGATATCAATATGAGACAGCAAATTGTTCTGGATTCAAGAAACTGTATGACCAAGTTGTTGATAAGACATTATCATAAACTGAATTATCATCAGGGAAAAGAACAAATCATAAACCATTTGAGGGTTGCTGATACTCACAGGGTTCATGTTTAAAATAGAGTTTCTAATAACAGTTTCTAGGTAATTCACGTCACAAAAAGATCTTTGTTTATAAACGATTTGTTTTAAGTAACCCCACAAGAAAAAATCTAGTGGGGTTAAATCTGGCGACCTAGGCGGCCATATTTGCTCCATATTTCGCCCAATAACATTCCTCTGAGCGTGCAGGAAAATATTATATTTGCTTCTCCATTCTCTGAGAGGAAAAACATGTACCCAACTGGAGTGTCCGCAAAAAATATGTCTTCTTTTCTTGTTTTAAAACAATACACCATTTATTCAGTTATCCGAGTTTCCTTACATTCCTTGTTATTGAAGAAGACGAGAACGGTGCTTTCATATCTGTAAAACTAATGACGAAAGTATTGAACATACAGATGGAATCCTCACTATTGATATTTCAAATTTCGGTAATTTCATTTCCACTGAAGTTATTTGAGTAACACTTCACTTAACTGAACGATAGTTAGCTCAAAATAAATGCCGGTCCTTCTCATCTTGTATATAGGAGGCTGTCGAATTACATAGGTAATACTGCAATAGGTTCAATTCAAGATTCAGTTCAGAACGCAATATAGCTCAAAGTTCAACAAGGTACGAGGTTATAAGTGGAAATGAAGAAGTGAATCAGTTCGAAGATTATACGATGTTTAAATCTGTTCAGATACGAACGACAACTCTCAGAAGTTGAGAAACTTGTGCGAGCTAAGGACTAACGAGGTCTTACCTTTCAAAGTGTGAATCCTAACACGGTTGCAGAATCATTTCGGCTTCAACCAGATAAATTATCTCGAGAAAAATATCTGGTCGAGGCGGGAATCGAATCCATGGTCTTCCGATCGTGAATGAAGTGATTTAATTTGAATAACTGTATCACTTGCTCATTATCAAGAACCCTAGCATCTGTTTTGAAATATTTGGAGTATCGTCGTAGGAATTCCAACGATTTATCTTATTGAAAAAACAATCAAATCAAATTGGATATCATTACAATTGTGAAGTTGGCGGTTACTTGAGAAAATTTGAATCCAAGTAAATTTTACGAATGAGGTTCAATTGGAGTGGCTCACTTGAATATGATCAGGATTCCGAAAAAATATGACACAAAAGTAATTCAAAAGTTTATGTCAACTATTTCCAGTCGATAGCCATTAATTTTCAATTAGGCATCATCATTTTGTTGTATATTTAAAAATGTAGTTACTTACACGTGAATTTATATTCAAATCTCAATGAAGACTAAATAACAAAATGTGTTGTTCACTCATCAGAGAAAATCGTATATACCTGTGAAAAAATTCC